TTCGATTAATCAAAAATGTATTTTTCATAATATATTACCTTGTATGTGGGTGGGGTGTAAAGGATAACTGCTCGGAATGAGAAATTGGAGAGCGAAGTTCGAATTCCAGTCTGTTTCGTTACATTCACTTACGCGCAAATACCGTTGCGAATACCCATCACTTCTCCGCCCAGAATGCGTCGCATTGCCTTGGTTGGCAACTAGTCTACCGCAGAAAGAAACGGCCGCCTACTGTGGGAAAACTGACAAGTAGTCATGAATCGAAAGAGATAATTACCTAAGCGAGCATAACGTACAGCTTTTTAGATTTAAAACCTTGTCTAGCTGAGATATTTAGCTAGAAAAGGTGAAGTTATAAAACACTGATACATTTTGATAAATCTTATTACATAATTAAAGAAAATAATATTAAAGACACAGGTTAAACATCTTATTAAATATTTAAATTAAATTCTCCATATTAACACCTAAATAATATAACTCAAAAATTATATTTTTAGTTATAAGTATTCACTATTTTCTTTGGTATTCACTATTTTCTTTGGATATACACGCGTTATTTTTCCTATATGAAATCTTCACGCTTACAATTTATTTTAAGATATTTCCTTTGTACCAATCTTATTGATTTATTCATGGATATTTATTTTAAAATTTTATTTATTTTTTTTTCCAAATTAACCACAGCTTTTCAAAGTAGAATGGTTGCATAGTAGCAGTTTTATTTTAGATTTTTTTTCCACTTGTTTTGAAAATATTCGGTGTAATGTAGTAACAACTCCAAGTAGAACCTTATGAAGCCTAATTTAACTCATTCAGTTTTATTGCTGAAAAAAAAAATTTATTTCTTTGCGATTGATAGTTACAAGCGAGAGGGAAGATGTGATGTGCTTATTTTATTATCGCAATCGGACAGAGCGAAATGCTAATATTTCGTAGATTTCATATTAAACCTAAGATTTAATATCGTACAGTAAGTGCTGGTGGTAATAAAACAATGCTCGATATAAAATAACAGAACTACCATCCATACTGATAATAAATATACTTTTTTCCTCACTGGTGAAACCCTGCACTAAACAGTGAAGAATAAATGCATATATATATATATATATATATATATATATATATATATATATATATATATATATATATTTTGAACAATAAGAAAATTAAAAATTAAAAAATTAAAAAATTAAAATCATTAGACACACTGGGTTGTAGATTAATATTCTTTCGTTTTTTTATTATTATTATTATTATTCCATTTAGATTCCTCGACTAGTTTCGACCGAAATGGCCATCATCGGGAGGCGAAATATTTCTGCTTGCTGTTGGCAAGGAACTACAGAAATGAATGTCTTTTGTTGGAGAAAATGAACTTTTGTCTGTAGTTTTCATTTGTTTTTTTATTTTTTTATCTTTTTCACATGAATCTTTTAACATTCCTTGTGTTGGTCAAACAGTCTCTTTTAAGTTGTTATTTGAGATAAGAACTGGATGGATACATTTTATCCTGAATTCTCTGGTCAGTTTGACAGTTTTATTGGACCTGGTGAGGGGATGTGTCTCTGTTTAGTGTTTGTGTGTGTGTTATTTGGTTCTTAGGGGAGTGACTGAGTATGATATGTGTAAGCGTGTGTATTGCTGTAGGTGTGTGTTATCATTTGGCTCATTAGGGAGTGAGTGAGTATGGTGTGCGTACGTGTGTATAATCGTGTGGGTGAGTGTATAAGTGTGAGGCCTCCATTCCTCCTTAAGCATGTCTGTCTTGTGTGGGTGAGAAATGTGGGTAGGTTTTGATTTGTTGATTGTTACTATTATATGTTTATATTATATATATATATATATATATATATATATATATACAAAAAATTACATTACTAAAGTTAATGAAATAAAATGGGGAATTCACTTCACTAACTAAATTTTAAAGATGCAATAACCTACTAATCACACGATGAATGTTATTTCCCTATTTGCCCTCCTTGCCGAGATTAAGCAAATATATTCCTTAAGTGCCAGCTGTAGGGTAACGTTCAAAAACACTTCTCGCGTGCCACTTCTCGTGATTTCGAACTTGAGTAAGTGTCTTATAATGTGGCCTTGTGCCAAATTGTTTTAAAAAAATACTTAGTAATTATCAATGAGCCTGTGCCGTAGTGCAGTGATTAGGAAGATAGTATTGTTAACACTTTGCTTATGTAGTGAATTGTATCTTGAATAACCCAATGCCCGTGTAACATAAACCTGACGAATGTATGTTACTCCTGGTATCCAACAGTAGTGTGTTCTTATGAAGCATTTCGTAAATCGACATGGCGTAAAACGAATAAGCAGTTAGCATTACCATTATCATTACCATTATCGTTAACATTATAATTATCATTACAATTATCCTTACCATTATTATTACTATAATAATTATCATTACATTACAATTATCATTACCATTAGGATTATCATTACCATTCTCATTACTATTATAATTATCATTACTATTACGATTATCATTACCATTATCATTATCTTTATTATTATTATTACCATAATACTTGTCATTATATTACCATAATAATTATCATTACATTGCCATTACAATTATCATTATCATTAGGATTATCATTACCATTATCATTACTGTTACAATTATCATTACCATTACGATATTATCATTAGCATTATCATTATCTTTACTATTATTATTACCATAATAATTGTCATTATATTACCATAATAATTATCATTACATTGCCATTACAATTATCATTACCATTACGATATTATGATTAACATATCATTATCTTTACCATTATTATTATCATAATAATTAACATTATCATTGCGAACTTTATTAGGCTTTTAATTACTAATATCTTTGGATACGTCTTGCTAAAAAAAATCTTAAATATCTAATACGTAGGTATTTAGAGTCAGTGTCACTGCTCCTAGAACACACTCCCTTAAATATCAATTCGCTGTAAAAGAAAACTTTAACTCTATTCGCTTTTTATTTCGTAAAAGCGAAATTTATGATTTCTTTCGGTTAGCGAAAACAGGTAACGATGTAGAACTTTTTGTAAAAGCGAGGTGGTGTAATGCGAACTATCGAATAATTGGGGATAAATTATACGTGCCGCACTATTTAAAGGCGTCTGTGGTGTTTACGTGTATAAAAATAAACGAGGCAACACTAATAATCAAAGGTTAGAGCAAAGTGCCTTGGCAGCTGCTTGTATTTCCAATTATATCACGTCGGTGTACACGTCATGCATTCAAGAGTTGCAAAACTGTAAAATAATATAGAATAATAGACAAAATAAGAAAATAAGATTTTATGGGATTTCAGTGGGTGGTAACAAGAACATCTTTGAAGAAACTTTGCTTGTTTGTTTTAAAGAACTCCAAGGAAATGAACAGTCCGTTTTTATGGTCTTTTAAATAAAACGTTTCATCATAAATAATGCGCAAGAAAACTGGAGCATCTATATTTTTACCAGATTAATGATAAACTATTCGCTCAACGGAGCCTGAGGAAATGGCTTAGTTTTCGATTAAGAAACTCGTACTGAGGAGTTCTACGGTTTAAACACAACTGATTTTATTCAATGACCCTAATGTGTCGTGTAAAAAATATTGATATAGTACGCCTGACAAAAAAAAAAAAAAACCTAAAAAAAAAAAACAACTAAAAAAAGTACCTGAGAGCCAATGACAAAATATCTTGCTGAAATTTTTCACCTGGAGGAACTAACGAGATATCTTGCAAGAAAATTTTTCATTCTGAAGGTAAATGTCTAGATATATTGGGAAGAATCGTTTCTTTTACTCTTTTTCTGCTTGACCAGTTGAACAATTAGAATATAAGAATATTCCTTTGTTACCAAGGTTGCCAAGATATGTCACAAGATAATTACTTGATCCCGGAACACCTGCTGATATATTTCGCAAACAAATCCTTTCTATCCAAAGGAGAGACGCCGAGATATATTGCAGGGAATTCATTTGTTCAAGTCTGTGCAACGAGATATCTTGTGAAACGATTTCTTTGTCTCAGGAAACAAGGCACCTTACGCGAAATGTTGTTTTCTCGAACGGTGATCTTACGAAAAATTTCTTTTTTCTCGGTCGTGTTTTTCTGGCAGTGAATCTGATTGTATTGAAAAAACACTTCAACGATGGAGATGTCGTTAAAGTAATAATTGTCTTTTAGCAGTTAACCAGATATTTTGGCCACATTCCCTTCCCAAGTAGTTAAAGAACTTTTTTTTAATGAAAAATCATGAAAATAGGGCACTGGCTATTAATGGGTTATAGGTAGAAACCTATAATTACTTCCGGATCTATAATTAATGCGTTTTTTTTTTTTAAAGAAACATAAAAATTATACTGGGTCTATTAAACCTATAATTAACACGGGATTTTAAAAATAGAAATCTATAATTCTTATTTTAACATCCTTCCTAAATAAATCAAGGTTACCTAGCACTTCAAATAGTTCATTGGGACACTTCTGCATAATCCATATAACATTGATATACATAATTTGCATTTGTATTGCTCCAACAACAAAGGTGGAAAACCTACTTTCTGTTAAAAAAAAATAACGAAAATGAAAACAAAGTACTAAGCGGTAATAAATGTACTCAGTTTAAATTTAATGTTTTTAAGGTGGTGCACGGCGTAAATCGATTTATGAACCAGATGGAAACAGAAAAAAGGTGGACAAAAGCAAAAACAAAACAAATAAGCAGTAACTATGCATAATATAGCAATCTTGTCGCGTGAATAAAGTTTCAGTATCAAGAAGCCGAGTAAGGAGAAAACGGTAAGCTAGGGATATGCTTATTTGTTAATGATCAATACAGTCATTCAAAATTGAGTTTGATGATGAAGAGAGAATGATTTAAATGAAGCTATACATATCTCAGCATTTTCAAAACATAATTACCTCACGTGAATTTATCTATAAATCTAGCTAGCTATCACTGTTAATATAGAATTCATATCTATCTATCTATCTATCTATCTATCTATCTATCTATCTATCTCAAATTCATATCCATATGTATCTATCTATCAATATCGAATACATATCCACATCTATCAATATCAAATTCATATCAATTTCTATCTATCTATCTATCTATCTATATCAAATTCATGTCCATATCTATCTATTAATATCAAATTCATATCCACATCTATCTCTTGATATCGAATTTATATCCATATCCATATCTATCTCTTGATATCGAATTCATATCCATATCTATCTATCTATCTATCTATCTATTAATATCAAATTCATATCCATATGTATCTATCTATCAATATCGAATACATATCCACATCTATCTATCAATATCAAATTCATAACCATATGTATCTATCAATATCGAATACATATCCACATCTATATATCAATATCAAATTCATATCCACATCTATCTATCTATCTATCTATCTATCTATCTATCTATCTCAAATTCATATCCATATGTATCTATCTATCAATATCGAATACATATCCACATCTATCAATATCAAATTCATATCCACATCTATCTATCTATCTATCTCAAATTCATGTCCATATCTATCTATTAATATCAAATTCATATCCACATCTATCTATCTCTTGATATCGAATTTATATTCATATCTATCTTTTGATATCGAATTCATATCCATATCTATCTATCTATCTATCTATCTATCTATCTATCTATCTACGAATAGATTAAGATAGATATCTGGGAGTAATGTATAGTTTATTTTGTTGCTTTGAGGCTTGACGCACTTTTCTTCAGTGAATAACGAGTAACCATCGATCTATCATGTGGCTGAATCTCGCATATCTCAGCCTTTTTGTCAGAAGTAAAAAAAAAGAGTCTAGACGGGCTGCACCTCCCCCAGTTTCCTGATAGGAGTAGGGGTCAGTATCAATCGCTAAATCATGCAGCGTGCCAAAAACGAAGGTGCTGAAGAAACTGGATAATTTCTATTTCTTTCTATATATACGAATGAGAAACTCCATTCAAAAACGACGTTGTATCACACTTTACCACCCACGGGTGGTGGCTAAATACATCGCATATTTCAATATTATCCCATTGCAATTTATTTAGTAATTTTCCAAGCGTAGCTTAGATGTGGCACAAGGCCGAAAGTAGGGGGCACCTAGTGAGGATCGAACTCACTACTCAGTCGTAATTGTTCTAGCCAGACAAGCTTGCCAACCATTACACCACCTCGAGGTACCCCATTGCAATTTATCTATGTGACCTCTGTTGATAATGATCGTTAAGTTTGAATACGCTCGCTTTACTTGGAAATTTGACATTAAAATTTGAATAGACATTTTATGGAAGAGGTAACACACAATCAAGCGAACATACTATAACTTTCTGTGCTTATCTATTTTAAAACCACCTCTTTATGTGCCTATCTATCTATCTATCTATCTATCTATCAAAAAAAAAAAAAAAAAACAAAAAAAAAAAAAAAACAGCTCTACAAAAGTAAATTACTCCAAAAGTCAAAGTACAAACTCGCACACCAATAAATACTTATATTTGGTCATCTTATTTTTCCTGATTGTTTCCACGCCCATTTTAACTGCCCACGAATCTATTGTTATTAGACAGATCAGCCAATAAAAAATGGTTTCAATCCCATTGTAATTTCATCTTCATTTGCTTCGTCATCTCTACATATTTCCAGAGCCTTTCCTATCCAGTAACCATTTTGGCAACGGAAGCAGATTCTTTGTGTGCAAAGGCAGTTGGCCTCCCAATAATCTTAAAAACGAGACGCCGACCGAGATATATCCGCCTGTTCCTGCGTTTGCGAGCGAACGTCTGCTGCATGGAATGCGGTAAAGTCTTTGTAAAAACAAAAGAAAAAAAAACATCTGACGCATGCAATACAAAGAGTGCATTCGATGACGGAAGAACAAGAGCTTCAAACTCTATGACGTACAATGTAAATTTGACCATGAAAATTTACAGCCTTTCACATCAAGTTTTCTTCTCTTTCGAAGTAATGCTTTTGATCTGTGGTTCACAAAGGATGCTCACCGCCCATTAAGGATAGTGACGAAAGTCCGTACTAAATTCGTTTGCAGATACTGTTCGAATTAAGTAAACTTTTCAATAGTAATATAAGGTAACTGTTATAATTTGCTCCTAGTGTTTACAATAACGCCGTGACGTCATTAGAAATTCTCCTCGACTGACTCCAACAGACTTCTGATTCACTTTGTGTTCTTTATTTTAGGCGTCTTGCCTAGTTCATTTGTGTTACCGGGTGTGTCTTATTTACTCCACAGCAGTAGCCAAAAAGTCCTTGCTGTTTTTTTACGTCGTTTAGGAAGAAGTGATCACTGATACGCAAATGAATGTGTCACGTGCCGGGAAAGCGGTGGAGGGGTAGGTAGGGGCACTGCTTTTGACCAATCCAAGTGCATTGCACACACACATTGGTCATAGACAGCAGCGAGGAAACATAGTGGTGTCGAAGCAGCTCGTTCGGGGTTTTAAGGTGGGCATCAAGTCGCCGAATATGTCAAGCCACTGGGGATAATGCCGAAAGTAAACGAGTAAAGGAGATGAATTTATCCCTTTTTTCCTAAGGGCATTACACGATTTTTTTTTTAATAAGCAACTTAGAATTTTGACCAAAACTCGTTTTGTTTAATTTTTGTACAAAAATCCTAAGAAGTCTCTGTAATGTTATCGGTCCTGACCTGGCATCTAGACCTCGACATTACTACGATGTAGCTTCCCTCGACCTTTTTCTAAAAGTATTTTCATGGTTCTCCGGTGCCTCAACTACATGAATTTAAGCACACTACTTAAAACTTAACTTAGGTTAAAACTGACATTTGTGAGTTCTTCAAATCAAAGCCAAAAGAATTTTACATTAATGGAATTAGTAAGCTTGTTAATAGATGGAAGGAAGTCATAGATAATCAGGGAAAATACATTGTTGATTGAATCTGTAATTAAATGTAACATTTGGTCACTTGTTTTCTTTATTCAAAATTAGGACAGAACTTATGGGATGACCTGATATATATATATATATATATATATATATATATATATATATATATATATATATATACTCTTGGGATAATGGACAATATGGAAAATGTTTGTATTCCTTTACTATCACCAAACGGAAAAAATGTATGAACGATGGAAAAACTAAATAAAAAATTAATTAAATTTTCGTTGTTATATTTAACGAAAAATGTTTAAAAGAAACGTTGCTGCCAAAATATCTATCTATCTATCTATCTATCTATCTATCTATCTATGTGTGTGGAGAGTGAGAGAGCGAGAGAGAGAGAGAGAGAGAGAGAGAGAGAGAGGGAGGGGAGGCTGGGTAAACATTATCCTTCCCCTATCTATTTATGTATACTATCATATATAGAGTAGGGAAGGATAAAGTTTACATGTATATAAAGGGTTGTGATAAAGACAAGAGAGAGAGAGAGAGAGATAGAGAAGGAAAAAGAGAGAAAGTGTGTGTGTGAGAGAAAAGAGTGAGTGAGAGAGATAGAGAAGGAACAAGAGCGAAAGTATGTGTGTGTGTGTGTGTGTGTGTGTGTGTGTGTGTGTGTGTGTGTGTGAGAGAGAGAGAGAGAGAGAGTTGACTGCATACCAAGAGAAATGATGGAAAGATAGAAAGTCAGGTAGTGTTGGAAATATTCCTTGGCATTCAAATTCTTCATGGAGAGGTAGAGCAAATGAAAGATAAAAGAAAGGATTCGTTATGAAATATTTGTGCCTTCCTTATCACAATACAATGTCACTATTATCACAATGCGGGATACTTATTAATAAAAGGGATAGAAACAAAAGCAACAGTGTAAAGATACTAAGTGAAATTGGCTAGAATAAATAACCAGAGGCATCGAAAATACAAAAAAAAAAAAAAAATTAGCGCATTTTGAGTTTCTTACCAACACATAATTATATAAAAAAATTGTGTTTTTATATACTTGTTCCTTTTCCTACGTATATATATAATTACAGTGACATTAATTTAGTCCAATGAAGTCTTAAAAAAGACGAACGAAATACGTCACTAAAAAAATGCTTTTTCAATTTTTTATTAATTTACCTAACATTGTTCTGATATATAAAAATTAAAAATTTATACATCTTAATGTCCTTTAAAGGTAACATCAATCAGCTAAGTGATAAACTCTTACTCATAATTATCCCCTCTATATAAATATATATGTATATATACTCACAATTTAAACAATATTAATTTATTAAAAACATATTTATTGAATATTATTCACTTACTTTTGCCTTTTGGCTTTGAATTGAGGGCACTTTGTGTCCTCCGCCTGTTTTGACTGACCTTTCAACCACCTGATGAATATTCATGAACGTTCTCAAATTTAAAAGCATTGATAAACCAATGAGATCCTTGCTTTTGTATATAAACATATGAAACAAAATATAACCTACATTTGCCTTGATAAAATCCCTTAGAGGACTCCTCTTCTATATATATTTATATATGCATGTGTGTGTGAAAAGAGAGAGAGATGAAAATCAGTAAGGATGACGTTAATCAGACTGATGTAATAAATTATTGATATGCCTCAAGCCGTTCAAATCCTAAGCCGGTCTAAAAAGCCACTTGATAGTATATTCATTCATACAAATGGCAACGAATGAACAATTAATGAGACGGCAATGATTTGTATAGATGTTGAATTATATATATATATATATATATATATATATATATATATATATATATATATATATATATATATATATATATATATATATATATATATATATTATATATTGAAACGTAACTAAAAGTATGCTGAGGAAACTGCAGGACACAGATTGATCTTGAACTCTGTCTCGCATACACACTGAGTTATAACCTTATCGATCGCTTCCGTTGTTTATAGCAATGCTTGGAAGGAAAGTGTGTAGAGTGTGGTCGTCTTACCACACTACAGACGTTCTATCAGTGACTATAGCCTGTGAAGCATTTTTTGTCTAATAACAACATTCCCCAGGTGCAACAAGTGCCATATTCCCTAGATATCGCCCGTTGCACCTTTTTCTTCTTCAAAAATAAAATTCCCACTTGAAAGATTTCAAGCGGTAGAGGCAATCGAAGAGAGTAGGTGGAGACAGCTGCTCGCTATCTTCACAAAAAAAGAGTTCCAGAAATGTTTTACCTCAAGGGCAACCGCGCTTGATAAAGTCTGTGGATTCAGAAGGGTATTACTTCGAAGGAGATTAAATACCGAATTGATATGTATTATAGTTTTTTAATAGCACCAGTCCCGATCCAATACTTTTTGATCAGACCTCGTATACGCATAGTGACATTCATTCCTATATATATATATATATATATATATATATATATATAAGATATTTTCAGAACAGGTTTTCGTTTTCGTCTTTTCAAAATTCTTATCAGTAACGGATAGAGTTTTTCAATTCTTAAATCCACACCCTGCTATCAGCCATGCTTTCATAAGTTCTATTTCCTACTTTCTACATAGAAATTTCCACTGTTAAATGTCCAACTCAGAGACCAACAGCCAATGACACACTGAGTGAAACAAAGTCTGCAATACAAAGTGAAAATTTATATACGATCTTTTGATATTGCTTTTCGTGCACGTTCGTTTATTAATCGTGTTGCTAAACCGACAACTCTGCAATAATAAAATAAATGTGAAAGATGAAAATAAAAGTAAATTAATATATAACATATGCATTTTATGCCCTATTAAGTCAGTTTCTGTGTTCACTGACTTGAATGCCACCACCACACCACAATTCCAAAGACATATCAGTAGGAATAAAATGGGAACAGGCCGGAAAGCAGTATCGGTTGGGCCTTTGGCGAAGGTAACTGACACCTTTTATCTACACATAAGACTCAAGAGAACAGGGTGTCTTGATGCCAGTGAAACAGATGCTAACAGATGTGCCTATTCTGATGTAAAGCAAAAAAGCAAGCTAGAAACATTGGTAATAAAAAAAAAACGAACTTGCAAAACAATACGAACATTAAAAAAAGATGAAGAAAGAACAGACATAGATAAAAATATACGATAGAAAAAGAAAAAAATATTTAGCTAGGGATAAGATAAAATAAATTATTGCAATCAATATATGACGATAAGTTGTTTTCAAAAAGTTATGGGGAATAATTTCTGCCTGCTGATGACTTGATTCATTCTTTTTTTTATTTTCAAAAAGAAGAGTGACGCAGTAAAACAAATCGTTAGCTTGGTGCTTTGAGGGCTTTCGGGCTTACGACCCTACCACGCTGAAACACCAGTTCTAACGATCACCGAAGTTAAACAACGTCGGGCCTGGTCAGTACCTAGATGGGTAAACGCTTGGGAAAACGAGGTGCACATAAACATGGATATGAAGATAGTGTAATATGCCTGGAATTGGATATTAGAGAGTCGAGTTCCAATTACAGTTGGATTCATTATTTTCGCAAGATCACCGAAGTTAAGCAACGTCGAACCTAGTCAGTACCCAGAGGGGTAACCGCTTGGGAATACAAGGTGCATGTAAACATGGATATGAGGATAATGGAATGTGTTCGGAATTTGAAATCTGAAAGTCGATTTCCAATTACATTATTTTCAATTACGCGCAAATACCCATCGAAACGGTATGAAACTACCTCTTCTCCCCAGCTATGGATTAATTAGTAGGACTTGTATCAGTAAATCATTATTATCGCCAAAATAATTCTTATAGTCTAAAAATATATTCTGGCTTTAAATAACCTGAAAAATTTGATAAGCCGTAAAAAACAAATAAATCAATTGAGGATTTTTGTTTGGTTAATTTTTGCAACGAGTCCTCCCCATTGATCAACAATATATACTATTTTATAATAGAATAGAATTATTTTATAATAGAATAGAATTATTTTATCCTGTCAAGCGGTATATCTGCGAAACTTGAAGTCGGAAGATAAGTCTTTAAAACTTTTCTGTATCTATTAACTATTGTTACTATTTTTTAGTACGGGTGTGGGCTGAAAATTTCATAGGCCGATTTCATAGGCTGACTATGAAGGAGTGATGCTAAATATTGAAATCTTGCATGCATTGATTTCAATTCGTCTTCTTAATAACTACATTGTTTCTTTACAGATAGACTGACATATGATTGTACAGAGAAAACTTCAAAAGTAACTAATTCCGACTTCTCTTGAAAATGGACAAAATTTATCGTCAAGGTGTTATCAAGTGCCGGTAGAAAAAGGGATTAGCCCCCAAGGACTGACATGGGCTTAGCCCCCATGCTGACATGGTTGCTACATTAGGGAGTAACACACCAGCTTTATCAACAGTGCAAAAGTGAGCAAGTAGAAGGCAGAGTCTTAAAGATGACCCAAAATCTGAACGTTCTCCAACTGCCACCACAGAGGAAAGAAATTGATCGTGTTCACTATATGGTGATGGATGACAGACGATTGACTGTAAATCAAATAGCCAATGCTATTAGAGTATGTCGTGAGAGTGCTAAGAATATTCTGCACAATGAACTTGGTATGATGAAGGTTTCTGCTCGGTGGGAGCCACGTTTTCTAATACCTGTTCAAAAGTGCACTACACTGATCACACCGCAGAAAATCTGATATTGTTTGAAGCATATTTAGTTAATTTCCATGAATATTTCCTAACACAGAATGACAACTGGGTTCATCCCTTTGAGCTCGGGTCAAAGAGACAATCTATGAAGTGGAAATAACCTCCTCATCTGCTCCAAATAAGGCCGAATACGTTTCATCGACAGATGGCCTCAGTTTTTTGGGATGCAAAAGGCTTGTGTTTATTGACTATGTTCAAAAGGGCCACATCATCAATGGAGACTGCTATGCCAACTTGCTGACGAAATGGGTCTTGTTTTATGAAGACAATACTTCAACGCATAAGTCCTTGGTTTTCAATGGCTGCCTTGCGTGATTGTGGCTTTGAACTGGTTGATCACCCACCCTATTTAGACGCATCTGACTATCATCCGTTCCCGAACAAAAAAAAAACACTTGGCTGAGAACTAGTATCGCAGTGATGATGAAGTTATATATGCGGTTGATGAAGTTTTTAACCAACAGCATGAAAATTTCTTCATCAACGGGATCCAAGCACTTCAACTCCGATACAAGAAGTGTGTGGACCGTAAAAATAATATTGAAAAATAAACCTGATTCCATGAGTGTATCTTGAGGTCAGACTATGAACTTTTCAGCTGTCCATCGTAGATAATAATTAGATTTAGATAGATAAGGATCAGATTTAAATAGAGAGATAGATAGTGATTAGATTTAGATAGATAAATAGATAGATAAATAGATAGGGATTAGATTTAGATAGATATAAAATGACTGATTGTTTGATTCCTATCAAAGAGAAAACATTGGAAGTAATATAAAAGATTTTATGCAGTCTGTCACTTATAGTTATAGACTGCGAGCAAGTAAATATGGGATCGATAGTGATTTAGTCTTCGTTTTCTCTGTTAGAATTCATGCCATGTCAGTGACAATACCTATATGTCAACATATGTGACTAGGCCAGATAGACGGAACAATTTTTTCGTTTCCTGATAAGATTAAAATCACACACACACACGCACACATACAGAGACAGAAACACGCACGCACAGACAGAAACAGAAACACACACACACATACACGAATACAAACAAACACACCAGCTACTAGTTGTTTCTGGGAACACCCGTCTACCAGGGCGGGTCGAGCCAAACTCTATTACAGATACTTACTCAATCCACAGAACACCTCCGTGGTTTATATTGCAATTATGCTGATCATCGGACCTACAGTTTCTTGGAGAGACCGCATAATCTGGGGTGATCAATTTTTAGAAGAAGGCCTATACTCTCTAACCCTATGTTACGATGACTTGTGACTTTGTGCTAGCACACTCAAGAACGGCTTTCGAACGTTTCCGTCTACCAACTTTCCATCACAAAGCTTGAGCCAACCCGTGATGTGATTTTCAGATACTTTTCAAACCTGTGTGAACTAGGGTCACCTCTCCTTGAGATAACATCAAGAAGTCAACTCGATGAATAAATCGACTATGGAAAATGTTCTATATATATATATATATATATATATATATATATATATATATATATATATATATATATATATATATATTGCGTATATATAATTTATCTTGTTTCTAATTGGACATCTTGACAGTTTTTATTTTGTTTTGGTATTTTAATTTTATTTTTTTCTTGATGTCGGTTACATCAAAATGATTTCTTGCCAGAATAGAGACAAATTTCTAGAGTGCCTCCTTGAAACTATTATCAGCGCTGATAACGTTTTCTTCTAGATAATGATTGTCAAGTCTTAATACGGATATTTTTAGTTTTATTTATGTTTCCTTATTAAATTATTAATGGCCTCCGTAAAATACTGAATTATAACAAAATTTCAGTCTCTTTCTCTCTCTCCCCCCTCTCTCTCTCCCCTATATATATATATATATATATATATATATATATATATATATATATATATATATATTCGTAGCATGTTTTCATTAAGCCATGTCTCATTTAATAAATACAACAAGTTTTGTCTACTTATTTTTAATAGGATTCTCTGAAAATGACGGCCAAGTTTCTTAGTATCCTTAATAAAGGAAGAAAGAAAATTACCATGTAGATTTTATCGATTTTATTTTATTCCGAGTACTTTCGACTTTAGCACAATGTCATCATCAGGGTCTTGTTTTTGTTAAGACAAAAATTGTTGTTGTAATGTCGAAACTACTCGGAATAAAATGAACATGCATCAACATGGTAATTTTCTTTTTTCCTTTAATAGGGACACTAAGAAACTTGTCCGTATTTTGAAAGGATCCTATTAAAAATAAGTAGAAAAAACACTTCTAAATTATTTAATGAGATTTGTCCTAATATATATATATATATATATATATATATATTTTTTCAAAAATTATAACATAAGCATGATATAACATCACTACATTTCGTTTCGACACTTCTGGTGTCTTGTCAAGTGATGTTGATTGCAAAAATAAAGAGTTTTTTTTGAAAATTCAAAAAACAACCAAACTCCCTCTATATGGAAAACATTGTTACGTTTTGGTCATCATAGGTTACGTAATAATGTTTCCCCTATTAACGGGGTTTAGTTGGTTTTGAATTTTCAAAAAAACTATTTTGAGATCAACACCATCACTTGACGCCAGAAATGTTGAAATAAAATGGCTATTTTTGTGGTGATGTTATAACATGCTTATGTTAGAATTTTTGAATAAATATTATTTGCTCAACTTTGTATTGATCACACTTTTAAGAATAGTGTTTTTGGTTATCGGAATTTTATTCCATCTATACTCACCCTGTACTTGGATATATATATATATATATATATATATATATATATATATATATATTTCAAAAAATTTAAATGCACTGTCAATCGCTATCTAGTCTTCTATCTATTATGTTCCCTAATGTTTTTTTTTTTTTTTTGATCTTCCACACTCAGTAACCCCCTTGTGTCTTAGTGGATTCACTGCCTTGCATGGGGTGATATGATTAAAAAGACAACTAAAATAATTTATAAAACAGAACAAAAATTAGTTCTATATTTTCCTTATTCTTAGTAAATCGTTCTGAGTGAGATTCTGGAGTATATTTCGCGTTGTTGTTTTGATGGAAGAAAAACCGGCTGCCAAATTGAAGCTAGATAGCAGAACGCTAAAATTTTTCAAATATAAATATATATATATATATATATATATATAAATATATATATAGTTTGATATTTTAGCAAATCAAATTTTCTTTCAATCCTCGTGGGCATTCTAAGCAAAAGCAACCGCATAAAATGATGTGTCAATCATTGTGTTTTTATTTGCTGGGACAGTATTTATTTTATTTTTTTTAAATCGTTTGTTTTTTCTTTTGGAAACTAACGTCGTTTGTTATGTCCTCAAAGTTCTATTTTTACATTGAGGCCGTTGCCTTGACAGATGATGAATCGACTACCAAATCGAAGTTAGATAGCAGAGAATTTTTTTCTAGAGAATCAACTGATATTTTACTAAATCCATTTCCCATCCAATCCAAATGGGTTTCCGGTATCTGCATTAAAACTACGTCATAAAATGCTTTACTTCATTTAATGCATTGTCGTTTTTTTTTTTTTTACATCGTGTGCTGTGTTCTTTTTCTTCTAAATGTAACTTTGTTTATTATATATCCATATATAAAATTTTGTGACTTCCGTTAGCCAGTCCGTCCATCCATCCGTAACACCCTCTAAAATATCCATACATTGACCGATTAAAACCAAATTTGGGGGAGAAGTACAGGTA